CGGAGATCTGATATCTCGCCCTGTGGTGGAATTCTTAAAATGTCGTAGGCCTTTGCGTTTTCTCAGTAGAGCGCATTTTCATAATCGAATTTTCGAATTTAACGGAATCAGGGCGTGTTTGTACTCATTTTGAAGCTCAAAACCTCTAGCTTTCAAATAGGTTCTTTATTTTCTGAGAAAATCAAAGTATAAACTTTCAGATTGAAGATTCGATTCGTCGAATTTCGGAATGTCATGAGGAGTTGGGCAAGCTGTGCGCAGAAGCTGGCCTAAAAGGGCAAAAAGCGACGAGAGCCGCCGAGAATTTCACCTGGAATTTGAGATTGTTGAAAGCGCAGCTCAATTTAATGAATAAGTCCCAAGAGGAGGCACAGGATGTTGTTACTCAGGTAATTTTAAGAAAAAAAAATTCAACAAAATTTTTTTTTTGAAAAATTTGAAATTTCCGAAAAATCTGGAATTTTTTCCAGGTTTTCGACACCGGAGGCGTGTTGGGAGTACTGTCACAGAAATTGCTCATCCGAAAAAATGGGCGGAGATTCTCCAGAGTCGTCGCTGATCCAACTAAAGATTCTGTGCTTTGAAATAATTGAATTCTCAAAATTTTGAATTTTTGAATAAAAAAAAATTATGAGCTTGCATTTTTTTTTTCTTAAAAAATCCCTTTTACCATATGTATGTTTATTATTGTGTGTCTTTTTTCTTGCAATAAAATATTAATGAAATAATTAATTAATTAATTTCGCAATTAAGAAAAAATAATTAGAGACCAATTAAGATTTTCCATAAATGCCAAAATCGTAATTAGGCATACCCATCGAAAAACTATCCAGGTACGCTTTATGATGTGTCAGTGGGCGGGATGAGAATTTGATCTGAAAATAAAAAAAAATGTGAAAATTTGAAATTATGAAAAAAAACTTTTTTTGAAAATTTAAAAAGTTGTTACCTCTGGTTGATTTTGCATCCGAGCAATGTAGGCGCCAATTTTCGGATAATGAAGACCCGGAAAATATCGGAATTGAGAATTTTGAGTCATTGTTAAAAGTTGGAGACGTTCCAAAAATGGCCAGATGAGATAGTCGGCGTAGCCGGGTTGACGACCTTAAAAGCGGAATTTAGCGAATAAGACATTATCATTAGAGCGCGTTTCAAAACTGACAAAAAATTATAAAAAATTGAGACATTTTGGCACAAAAATCACTTTTCTATCTTGAAAACTAAGCAAGTTATGAGTGAATTCTCATTAGAGCGCATTTTCTTCGAAATTAAAAATGTTTCAAATGTAGTCATGTTTAAACTCATTTTGGAGCCTATAAAATTTCCAACACATTGGTACAAAAATAATTTCTCAGGCGCAAAAAATAAGCAAGTCATGACCGAATTCTCACTGGAGCGCGTTTTCTTCGAAATTCAAATTTCAGCGAATTTAGTCATGTTTATACTCATTTTGAAGCTTATAAAATTTCTTACGCTTCCATGAAAAAATCAATGTTGGTTATTTTGGATTTTAAAGAAAATTTTGGATTTTAATAAAAAATTTGGATTTTTAAAAAAATTTTGGATTTTAAAAAAAATTTGGATTTTGAAGAAAATATTGGATTTTAAAGACCTTGAAAAACTTTAAAATCCAAAAATTTCGTGCGATGAAATTTTCATCATAAATTGTGGTCAGTGTTCTTCCTGGCTGTACTTCGCTGTAATCAGCATTTGAAAAACTGATTTACCGTCGTTTCCAGACATTTTAAAGTTTTCAAATTATTTTGGATTTTAAAGATTGTGGGAAAATGTTGAGACTAGAGACAAGCTTGATAGGGTTCCGAAGGTTTTAACTTTTTAAATATTTATAGCTCACATCTTGTCGGGAACCCAGGATCGAAGGGTACATTTAAAAAAAGGCTACGCTGAGGGTACAAAGGTTCAGAGGGCAAACGGGATCTTAGGTGAAAGTCGTTATAGCTTAAGCCTATGATTTAGAGCGAAAGCTAAACAGTCAGTAGGGAAAATTGTGTTCGCCCTCCCGCATGTACCACAAAATCCCATGTATGCTAGGAATCAATATACTCTAAGAACTAGAGGTACCCTTTCCCGATGTGCCCTTGGATACTGGGCCGTTGAAAACATGTCAAACACAGCCAAATGTTTTAAAGTTGATGTCAAATGGCAGTGTTCCAGTGGAAGGAAAACAAGACATTTCAGCCTAAGCCTTTAAATTGAACAAAAAAAAAGAACATTTTGAAAAAAAGATTTAGTGAAAAAAAGGTTTTTTTCATTGATTTGATTTTCAGTACTTCATTAACTAGAAATGTTTCAGAATACTTTGTCCTTTGTTTGAAATTATAGGCAGAAGGTGTTTTTATGAATCTTTTCTGAATTCTTTAAAATCCAAACATTTCTTTAAAATCCAAAATTTTTCTTTAAAATCCAAAATAACCAACTAGAGCCAAATCAATTGTCTAGTGAAAAACATATGCAAGTTATGAGTAGATTCTCAGTGGAGCGCATTTTCTTCGAAATTAGAATTTTTGCAAATATAGTCGTGTTAATATTTATTTTGAAGCTTATGATATTTCCTACAAATTGATCTGAAAATCATTTGTCGTGAATAATAAGCAAGTTATGGATAAATTCTCATTGGAGCGCGTTTTCTATAATGTTTCAAACCTGAGCAATCCTAGTCATGTTTATACTCATTTTGAACCTTTAGAAATTTTCTACAGTTTGGCACAAACATCACTTTGCTAGCTCAAAGAATGAACAAGTTATGAGTAAATCCTCATTGGAGCGCATTTTCTTCAAAATTCAATTTTTGCTAATGTAGTCGTGTTTATACTCATTTTGAAGCCCACGACATTTTCTACAGATTGGCACAAAAACCAACTTTCCTAGCGCAAAAACTGAGCAAGTTATAGGTAAATTCTCATTAGAGCGCGTTTACATCAATTTTTCAAACATAAGCAATCCTAGTCATGTTTATACTCATTTTGAAGCTAAATTTGCGCCAAATCGAATAATAAGTGTTACAACTGAGAAAAATCAAAATTCAAAAAAAGTTACCTCCATAAAACGAGTCTCTCAACAAATTCTCGGCATTTCTGAGAGCACTATGCACATTCATATCGTTTTGTCGTTGTGCCTGCTGATTGCTCATACTACTGTAGAACTCGAATAATGCGTTCATTATCTGAAAATTAATATTGTTTTCTGAATTTTCAACAAACTCACCGGTGACAATCGTTCCACTAGAATTTTTTGATGTGCCTTCTCAAAGGCATCTCTCGGGAGTACTGTAGTTGTTGGGAACAGCTCATCCAGGTATTCCACAATCACATTAGATTCCCAAACCACTTTTCCATTAATTTCCAGTGCTGGGACTCTTCCGATTGGAGATTTCGCCAAATACCAGTTCGGACTACGGTCAGGGTTCACATTCACCACTTCTACTCTAAAAAATTGAATTTTCGTTTGAAATTGGTTTAGAAAATGTTATAATTTACTCAAAATGTTTGACTATTGAGCATAAAATGCCAAAAATTGAAAATTCCTTTTCAAAATGCCTAACACTTTTTTAATTTTTCTTCAAATCAATTTTGAACTTGATATTCTTACTCAGCTCAACAAGATCTTCAAAATGAGTATGCTTGATTTTGCAAAATTTAGAAAGTGCGCTCTACTGAGAAAGTTCTTGTATCTCAGCCCGTTGTAAACCGTTTTTGATGATTTGTATATCAAAATGAAGAAAATTCAAAAACAAAACTCACGGAATGTTTTTCTTAGCCAAATAGATAAGAACTCGCTGAGCATATGGACAAAATCTCATGCTATACAATCGATAGTTCCCGGGTGTAAGAGGCGGCTCCATGCTTCCAGGATGGAGAGTTTGAGAATTTAGGCCTCGAATGTTTGAACCAACTGAGGAATATGAATTAAAACGAATTGGGACAGCCGCAGATGATGGAGACGGTGCTGGTGGTGGGACCGATCGATATGAGACGAATAGTTTTTTGTTTGGCAGATGGTAGTCATTTGGCTGGAAATTTTTGGATTTTGAGATTTCCAGGAGAGTTAAAATATAAAAATTCAAATTTTGCACAAAATTTTAAATTGGAAAAGTGAAAAAATTCAAAAAACAAATGCAGAAAATTTCAACAAAAAAAATGAGCAAAAATTGTTTTTTTTTAAATTTTCCAAAAAAAACCTACCACTGCTGGATAGGCCTGATCAATGGCCACAGCGGCCAGCTGTGTCAAAAATTGCATACATAATGCTGCTGATGTGGAGCAATTCCCAGGTAGAACCATCTGAAATTTTTCTGAAATTTTTTGGAAAAATAAATTTCCAAAAAAAATTGTTATTTGGAATTTTTCAGGTTCAAAGCAAAATAAAGATCAAAAACTACAAAAGTAGAAGAAATTTCTACAGTAACCCATCCAAAAAGTGTTCAAAAAATCAAAAAATGCTCCAAAAATGGGCGAAAAAAAAACATAGAAAAATACATAAAGTGTCCCCCTTGGAGTCTAAGAAACACAAAAAGCGAGAGAGCGAGAGATCAGAAGAGACGCAGAGAAGGAAAAAGAAGAAAAACTTGGAGCATTTTGGTGCTCTCCCGGGAGCCCCTCTCCTCCTCCCGAGAAAAAAGAAAACCACTTGTTTTTTCTCTGCGTCTCTCAATTTCGCGTACTCTCTCGTTTTCAAATATCTCATATTTGTTCTCTGACCACTTTGTATGTGCTCCATCTACAAGCTTCACATGTGTCGGCAGAAAAATTAAAAATTTCATTAATGTTCGAAAATCGAAAAAAAAACTTTAAAATTCCAAAATATCAATTTTCCACCTTTTTTGAGCATTTTTCAAAAAATTGACACAAATGGCTCCGTGGGATTTTCGATAGCAATCTAACGACCCGGGTTCGATTCCACTCGGTGGGAAATCTTTTTTTTGCTTTTTTAAAGACATTTTCAAACTATTCCAGAAGGTTTTGAGAGTACATTTTTGAATTTTTGAAAAAAAAGTTCTTTTTTTTGAAAAATTCAAATTTCAAAAAATCAATTTTTTGAGCTGAACATGTCTATTTACCCCTCAAAACTACAAAAAATTAATTTAAAAGCCCTAAAAACCATTTTTCCGATGTTTTTGAGCATTTTTCAAAAAATGACACAAATGGCTCAGTGGGATTTTCGATAGCAATCTGGCGATCCGGGTTCGATTCCTCTCAGTGGCAAACGTTTTTGATTTTTGTGTGGATCATTTTAGACTATACTAGAACATTCTAGAGCTGAATTTCTGGAAAATCTGCAAATTTCAGACAAAAATTTTTTTGAAAAAACAATTTTTTGTGGATTTTCAAAATCCTCTTTTCCAAAACTATCAGGGATGTCTAAAAACATACTTAAGCAATCTGTAAAAATTAGAAAAAATTCAAAATCCAAAAATTTTTTGGTACATTTTATACACCAACTTTTTTTATTGGAAACCAAAAAACCAATAATCCGGTTAAAAATGAAAAAAAGGTAAAATAGAAGATGATTCAAGCTATAGAAAGATGTGTGGAAAAGTGGGGGGCGGAGTCTCCGGAAAAGACGAGAGAGCAAGAGACGCAGAGAAAAAGAGAAGCCGGTTACCTGAGAGCCGAGTTTCACGTGAGATCATCCAGATGTTTGTCAATTTTCCGGATTCCGGGGTTTACACAAAAAAAGAGATACATCTGTTCTCTTTTTCTCATATCTCAACATGTGTGTAATGGTCGGAAAAAACGGAAAGCTCATTGATCAATTATAGGCAATTAACACTTAATTATCTTTTTTAGAGTTATAACTCGGTTCAAAATTAACCTATTATAGTGATTTCACCAGAAATTGATAGAGAATTTTGTGAATTTCTGAAAAACATGGATTTTGAGAAGTTCTGTAGCACAAAGTCTGAAGAGCGGAGCATCTTCCTGCTGGCCAAGCTGATCAAATTCATAACTCAGCTCAAAAAACTGATTTCAATGATTTAACTAGGAATTGATAGGGAATTCTTTGAATTTTCACCAAAAAAAAAGGATTCTGAAAGTTCTGGAGCACAGAAACTGAATAGGAGAGCAATTGCTTGCTGGCCAAGCTAATTACCCTCATAACTCAGCTCATAATTAACCAATTTCAATGGTTTTACTAATAGTAATACTTGATAGGAAATTTTTGAAAAATTAATTCAGTTTTTGGAATTTTTAAAAAATATGGTTTCAGAATGTTCCTGGAGCACAAAAACTGAAGACGAGAGCGTCTTCCTGCTGGCCGAGCTAATTACCCTCATAACTCAGCTCACAATTGACCAATTTCAGTGATTTTACTAATAATTGATAGGAAATTATTTAAAGATTAATTCGGTTTTCTGAATGATTGAAAAAATATGGATTCAGAAAGTTTCAGGAGCACAGAAAATGAGCAATCTTCTGCAGAGTTACGAGAAGGCAATTTTCCGCAAAGTCAGAAATCATTTCATGAGATGTTGCTCATGATTTTTCCTATCACATGAGACAGAAGACAACTCAACTTGTGACCTTACAGCACACTTATCATCAACCAATCTTCTTCTTCCATGAGTAACACTCTTTTCTCAAATTTTAAGTTTTTGAACGCTTATAAGTGGTATTAGAATTTGTGCTACATTTTTGAAAACTTCAGGGAATATAACACAAACCTAGAGCTACATTTTTGTAGTTGACGACTTTTTTCTTACGGTAGTTTTTGAGATATGCGCCTTTAACGTTTGCTTCTTCCGCCTGAAGAGGGAGCAAAGTTGGTCTGCTAATTATTTAGCAAACCACGAGAGACGGAGAGAAACGCGGGCAACATTAGCAGACCACTTTCTCTGCGTCTCTCAACAGCGTTCGCCAACATTAGCAGGCCAAAGTGATCGATAATTGTTTAGCAGGCCTACGCGCCCACTCTTTCTCTGCGTCTCACATTAGCAGACCACTTTGGCCTGCTAATGAGCGACGCAGAGAAAAGAGACGTTTTAATGAGAGACGCAGAGAAAGAGAGCGCACTAAATAATTAGCAGACCAACTCTAATGCATGCGAATTTCAAAGGCGCATATCTCAAAAACTACGGTAGCTCGAAAAAAGTTGTCAACTGCAAAAATGTAGCTCTAATTTTATTTTATACTTCCTGAAAAAAAATTTCAGAAAAGTTGAAGAGACTCTAGACACTTTTGTAGCACTCAAACATTCTAGAGTGGCCTAGACTCTATCTGTTAGCCTTTTCGGGTAAAAGGTGTGGTAAAGAATATTTTGTAGTTTGTAGTGTATAGACCACCCGGTTTCTGATGGGAAACTGATCTCAAGGACCTGGGAAAATTCAAAAGTGGAAAAAGTCAGAAAATGCGCTCCAATGAGAAAATTTGCTCTAGAATTTGAGGATTATTCAAACCTTTTCAAAATTTTTAATTCAGAAAACGCGCTCTAATGAGAAATTGGTTTATAAAATTTTTTCACTGTTTTTTTCCGCCGGGATGACTCATATAGAATCTAATGTTGCCAAAGGTACTTGAAGTGAGCCGGTATATGTGCCATCCGCGCCAATTTTTTTTGCTCTTTTCCGTATTACAAGCACGGGAGGGCAAATATATGCGAAATTTGGGATTCACAAAAATTCCAAGATATCAAATTACTGTAGGGGGAAATTGTTGGTCACAAAAAAGAGCAAACAAATAAAAAATCACCACCGAATAAATTCATAGAAAACACACAAATTTTAGACAAAAAAGGCACTAACACGGAGAATTCGAAGAAAATGGAAAATTAGAAAACAAGAAGAAAAAACAGAATAAATAGAAAAAAAAACACACAGACTAGTTCTGGAACAAAAATTAGTGACTAGCTGAAAAAGGACAAAAATCGCAGATTTCAAGAGGGAACAATAAAATATGTATAATTTACAGATAAATGATAATAATTCTTTCTGGAATGCTGTAAACCGTATTTTTAACAGAAAAAAGGAAAAAATCAATATAGGGGACCGGCCTTATGATTGAAAGGGGAAAGATGGAAGTAGAAATTTTAAGAAAAAGTAGAAAAAGCGGATTTTTGAACTATTTTGGCTTGGAAGGTGGAGGTGGCTGTCGAAGGGTGGGCGTGGTTTGGTGTGGTCGTTGGGGTGGAGCCGGGCGGTCCGGATGGAAAGAGCCCATTCGGACTGCGCATTCCAGGCCTGGTTTCATCTGAAAACTTTAGTACTTAAAAATGCTATTAGAATTTTTCCAATAGCTCTGAAAATTTCAGAGAATACAAAACAAAACTAGAACTTCATTTTTGTAGTTGACAACTTTTTTTAAGCTACAGTAGTTTTTGAGATATGCGCCTTAAAAGTTCGCATGCAATAGCATTGGTCTGCTAATTATTTTGCGCTCTCTGTTTCTCTGCGTCTCACATTAGCAGACCACTTTGGCCTGCTAATGTTGGCGCGCGCCAGGCCTGTGCGGCAACAAAATTTTTTCGGAAATTCGGCAACACGGCAATTTGCCGAATGCTTTTCGGCAACGTTCGGCAACTCGGCAATTGCCGAAAAAAAATTTCGGCAAATTTCGGAAATTTTCGGCAACAATAGTTTGCGTCTTTTTTTTAGTAAAATCGATACGTAACTCACCTGAAAATGCTCCGATCAGACTCAAAACTACAGAAAAGGTGTGTCATGCGTTTCCTAACAAAGCATTTACAAAAACTGGCAACTCAAGACCACATTTTTTATGCTAACTACTTATCTTGAACAATAGATAGTATTCCAATGGTTGAAAATATGAGATAATGGTGTTCAAAATTAGGTTTTTCGAACTTCGAAATCATTTTTTGATTGAAAAAATTGTGAAAATCTCTACATTCAAAAAAACTTTCAGTTGCCGAAGTTGCCGAAATTTTTTTGCCGAAATCGGCAACGGCAATTCGGCAACTTTTTCTTCGCTGCCGATTTCGGCAACGGCAAATCGGCAACAAAAATTCGGCAATTTCGGCAATCGGCAATTTGTTGCCGCACAGGCCTGGCGCGCGCTATTGAGAGACGCAGAGAAAAGTGGTCATGCGAACTTTAAAGGTGGGGGGACAGGAGATTTTTCGTAGTTTTTTTGTAGCTAGAGTATGCATTCTACCGTCACGGTGTACAACACTTAATGTCACTCTGCGTACAGCTGTCGTCCTTGCCTTTATATATGCAATCGGACGTGCGCTTTCTCTTTGCCCGCGTGGCTCAGTCGGTAGCGGCGCCGCACCCTCAATCATCGCCCTCCCAAGTATCAACTCCTCGAGGGGCATCTTTGAACGGAATTTCGAGAACATTATTTTTTTCATGTCCCCCCACCTTTAAAGGCGCATATCTCCAAAACTACGGTAGCTAGAAAAAAGTTGTCAACTACAAAAATGAAGTTCTAGTCTTGTTTTCTATTCTCTGAAATTGTCAGAAAATTTAGAAAAAAACCCTGGGTCTGCTATTAAGAGACGAAATTTGGTCTGCTAAATCCAATTTCACTCGTATCTTGGCTCAAAATAGAGCTAGAAATGTGAAAAATAGCTCATTTTGAAGGATTTCCCAAGTTCTTACCTTCGCCAACACCGGTTTCAACGGCTGCCGCTGCTCCTCCTCGTACTCGGCTTTCAAACTTCCGACGGCGGTGAGCACGAACTGTGCCAAGAACTCAAATGGCATGTCCATCCCAATCGATTTGCCGAGAACCGTCTCGATGCTGGAAATTTCAGCTTTTAAAGGCTTTTTTTTAGGAGAGACACACTCTTTGATGAACATGGCATCCACTTGGCGGGCAAGAATCTTCGAATCCTCCCAGTATCTGCTGGCCAAGATCAGAGCATTGGCAGTCTTGATTTGGGACTTGTAGGCGTCGAAAACGATTTGAGGCATCGTTACCTGGAAATTGTGATTTTTGAATTTCTCCATTTCCGAACTTCTGAAAGTCTGAATGTTCGAATTTCTGAATTTTTTGAATTTTCGAATTCCAGAATTTTTGAACCTACCGTATTCGGACACGACTGCACACTGGCCACCCACGGCGTCTGCGTTGACGGTGGTCCTGAAGGCGTCGATCCAGCGGAGAGCATAGCTTTCGGAGTGCCACCGTGGGGTACTGTAGGTCCCTTTGAAGCCGTCGGGGGTACGGCAAGATGGTTTTGAGAGTGTATCGATGATGCTTCAGACGTTCGGGAGATGGATCGGGTGTCTATGGATTCAGTCACTTCTCGCATTTCCAGTCGTTGCATATTTTTGATGGCACTCTGGAAAATTTTGGTTTGTCCGGATGTCTGACTTGCCTCCTCGGGGGCCCAGAAATCCGGTGAAAAATGTTAAAAATTAAAAAAAATCCAATTCTCCTGGTATTTCTGTGTGTCCAGATGTCCCAAAAACTCACATCAGCTCTAAACAAGTACATTTGGTACTGCATCACAGATAGCATAATCTGTCCGAGCACTTTGACACGTGGCAAGATATGGGCGGCGAGGATGTCATCGGTGTCTCGGACTCCTTGGAATACGGCGACACTGAAAAAAGAGAAAAAAATTGGTCAACTAGATCACAAACTACAAATTTTAAGAGCTATTTTTCTAGTTTCCACGTGGATTTTGAGCGAAACACGGAGAAAATGGGTCTGCTAAATAATTAGCAGACCCATGGGCCTGCTAATGTTGGCGCGCGCTTTCTGTTTCTCTGCGTCTCTCACCAGCAGACACCAAGGTGTTGGCCTGCTATTGACAGACGAAGAGAAAATGTGTCTGCTAAATACCTAGCAGACCCATGGGCCTGCTAATGTTGGCACGCGCTGTTGAGAGACGCAGAGAAATAGAGGGCGCACGTTGGCCTGCTAAATAGCTAGCAGACCCACGCGCGTTTTCTGCTACTCTGTGTCTCTCACTAGCAGGTCCAAGGTGCTGGCCTGCTAATGTTAGACGGAGAGAAATAGAGGGCACGTAGGCCTGCTAAATAGCTAGCAGGCCAACGCTCTCGTTTCTCTGCGTCTCTATTAGGCCTGCTAAATAGCTAGCAGTCCCAAATCTTGTTTCCTTCGTAACTTTGCTCAAAATGAACGTAGAAAAGTGAACATAGGCTCATTTTTTCGGAAATTTCCCCTTTTTTCTTCTGAATACTCTGAAATTCTTAATTTCCGGAGCGATTTTGACCCGCTATTGTTGATATTTTCACTCAAAATAGCTAATTTTTCAAGGTTTTCAAGGCCTCACCCTAGCAACTCATAAGTATCTCGATAAATCGATGCACATTGTATCCTTGCCTGCGGCGTTCGGTCTTTTTCCGTCTTCCAAATCGCTTCTAACACAAAATACACCGATGAGAGCATGTAGTGAAGTGGGCGGAGCACTCGATCTTTGGATTTGTCGGCTTGCGATTTGAAGTCTTTCGCAAGGGTGTGATAGAGCTCACCTTTGGTCTGCTTGGACGTTGTGGGGTCTGCAAATTCAATTTTTTTTGAATTTTCATTCTTATCCTACCTGGAATGGGCACTCTCTGAGTCGTTTTCAACTTCATATGATCCCATTGACACGCCCATCTTGCTACCTTCGTCGGCGTCGTTAATGCAGACGACGTGGGAGCTGCTGCTTCTGAAGACACCACTGCCACGTGGACATTCTCATGGACCGAAAGTGATGAGGATGGTCTAGAAGACGTCAGAGAAGGCGTTGTAGATCTGTGAGATCGCGGTGAAGGGCCAGAAGGACTCTTTGTAGAAGAGCCAGGATTCTGGAGATTCTGAACAGTCTTGTTGGGTGGCTTCTGAAGAGGTAGGGGAGAATTTCGAGACGTTGCTGCTTCTGAAGATGTTGGCGTTGCTTTGGAAGATTCTCGAAGCACTGGAGTGATCGATGGTGGACGTGGAGGGGGTGGGAGCACTGGTTTGGACTCTTTTTCTTTGGGCTTTTCGGATTTAGGCTTTTCAGGCCGTTCCAAAGGTGTTTCAGGCCGTTTCGAAGGCTTTTCAGGTTTCTTTTCGGGCCTTTCAGAGGGCCTTTCCGAAGATCGGCGGTCTGATTTTCCGGAAGGAGGTCTTTCAGACTTTTTCTCAGATCTTTCAGATCTTTCGGGCTTTTCGGGCTTTTCAGACTTGCTAGAAGGCCGATCTCTCTTATCAGTTGATTTTTCAGATGATTTCTCCACTGGTTTCAGCTTTTCTACCACCGGTTTATCGATTTTTTCTATTTTTTCCACTGGTTTCTCTGGTTTCTCCGATTTTTCAGCTTTCACGTCTTCAGATTTCAACTTCCCGCGACTCTTCGCCAAATCCACCAATTTTTGATATTTTTCCGGTTTCAACGCCTTCAACCTAATCGTTCCAGCAGATGGAACAACAAATGTCGGTGGTGGCGGTGGTGGAGGCGTCAGAATCTTCTTCACAGCAGGGACAACGACTTCAGGCTCTTCAGAAGGCTCACGGGACGTCGAAGCCGCTGAGACGGAGCTATCCGACAAGAATCGCGTTTCTTTTTCTAGCTGTTTATGCGATTCGAACGCTTTTTCTCGCTCTTTTTGTCGTTCTCTCTCTTTCTCTGCGTCTTTCTCTTTTTTGAGCTTCTCGATGAGATTATCGGGAATTGGAGAGAGTTGAGGGACATCCAGTCTGTAATTTTTTCAGAATTTAGGGACTTAAAATGCTAGAAAAATTATCAGACCAATTATCAGACCAATTATCAGACCAGGAGCTTTTTTTTTGGTGAAATTTCGGGTCATTTTAGGCTGTTTCAGAGCATTTTAAAGCCATTTTTCAACCCCCTTCGACTTTTTTAGGCCACTAAATACGATTCATTTTATACAATTTTTAGGCAATTTCGAGCCATTTTAAAAATGTTTTGAACTATTTGACGGTCATTTTTGGGCCATTTTAGACCGATTTCAGAACGATTTCAGGCAAATTTCATTCATTTTAAGAAAATTTTTGGACCCCTTTTGCCTTTTTAAGATCATTTTTAACGATTTCCAGGCAATATCCGGCGATTTCCAATAATTTTGAGTCATTTTAGACTGATTTTTCCAGAATTTTCAAATTTCTTACGTCTTCATGATATTCAGAATCGCTGTAATTTCCTCGGAACCATGATCCTCGTGCAGATCGCTCTCCGTCGAGTGCACTCCAGAATCCGGTGTTGATGGAGGGATTGCTGAAAGATTTGATTGTTCAAAAATTCAAAAATTCAATGTTCTCACAATTTCTAGACTCATTCTTCTTCCGTTTCGCCTCGACCTCCTCTGTCGTCTCTTCCAATTTCCGTTTTTTCGTCGATTCAGAAGACGTGGAAGGTTGAGAAAACGCTGACGACGTCGTTGGCGCTCGATTCGTCCTCCCTCCATTCGTCACGGCTCTTTTCAGGTCTGCGAACTCGTGTGGCAGAGCGCTTAATGGCTCGTCCACCAGATTTCGCATACTTTGAAGTGCCACGTGGACGGGCACATGGCTCGGCGAGTCGGATGGAGGGAGTTGGAGGTTCACACATGGTGCTGGTCGGGGCTTCATTTTTGCCTGAAAAAATTGAAAAATGAGAATTTCAAAATCCATTTAGGTTACTTTTTTTACTACTTTTAGAGTTAAAAATCGAGAAAATCCCAACAAAAAAAACGAGTTACAGCTATGTTTTCAGTCAAAAAAAAGCATTTCTACCTCTATTTAGCTATAATTCAAGGTAATTTCCAGCTCATGAATCAATAATAAATGCCCAAAAGTGTCTAGACATGTTTCGCGTGATTGGCTGGCAGGAAAAATAGATTAAACATAGGTGTCAAAACAACTAAAAGCTGGGTTTTTGGTAATTCTAGACTACAAACTATAAGAAACTTGGCGCTTTTTAAAAGCTTTTTTCTTCGAATTTTTGAATATAAAATTTGCTTTTTGTAGTTTGTAGTCTTGCTTGAAAAGGGTATGAAAAAAAAAATCATTTTTCTACGTTAATTTGAGTTATGAAAAAAAACAACGAATTTGGGTCTGCTAATTATTTTGAAGGTCTGAAGAGACCCAGAGAAAGAAAGGGAGCGCATTGGTCTGCAAATTATTTAACAGACCACTTCGGCCTGCTAATGTTGGCGCGCACTGTTCAGAGACGCAGAGAAAAGTGGTCTGCTAGGTATTTAGCAGGCCAACGCGTCCTCTATTTCTCTGCATCTCTCACTAGCAGGCCCAAGGTGTTGGCCTGCTAATGTTAGACGGAGAGAAATAGAGGGCACGTAGGCCTGTTAATGTTGACGCGCGCTCTCTGCGCCAAACATTAGCAGACCAAATCTCTCGTTTCTCTGCGTCTCTTTAGGCCTGCTAAATATTTAGCAGACCCAAATTTTATTTCCCTTGTAACTTCGCTTGAAATTAACCTAGCAAAGTGAAAATAGGCTCATTTTGCTGGGAATTTTTTTCTACATTTCCTGAATTCCCTTAGAAGTATTTAGCAGACAATTTTTTCAAGTTTCCGGGGCGATTTTTGATCCCCAAAATCGTTTGTGTATCATACAATACCGATCGTTCCCTCGTTTATCTCTCACCCTAATCAATCCATGCCTACTTGTCGCTTGATTCTTGGCCACCCGATCGTGAAACTCCTCAAATGGACCGAACCAGTCTAGAGAAATTGATAATTTAAAAATTAGCAAAAAAATTAGGTGACTCACCGGTCAAACTCCTTCGTATCCTTGCATTGTACTCTTCTCGAGAGTCCTCTTCCATCTATTTCTTTCTGAAAAATAAGATTTTTTAAAGTATAAAAAAAAAGAAAAAAGGAACGAAAATGCTAAAAAAGAGGAAAAACAGCAGCAGAAGTTTGTTGTATCAGTAGTTAATAGGATATAGGATTATGATCTCTCTACTTCTCTCTAGCTTTTCTATACTATTTCTTTTGATGTTTGCAGATATATAAAGTTTAGGGATGAAGCGATAAGATTGGATTATAGGCTAGAAAACTGAATTCTCGGAGACGGCAAATTGAATTTTTTTAGAATTAGCAATGTTTTTCTTCGAAAATTAACCTATAAAATAACTAAAAACCCATTTTTAATCGAAAAAATACAGAAAAAGAGGTATTTTTCGAAAAGTTTAGCCTATAATTTCAGAAAAATCGTCATTTTCCAGATGAAAATAGATTATGAATCGTCAACAACTCAATTTGGGAAAGGGCAAAACTTTTTCTAGCCTATAATTTGAGATAATTTTGGGTTTTGCGTCAGATTTCGTCACCGAAAAACGAAATTTGCAAAATCCATGACATAATCTTTGGGAATTTGGATTTTCAGGAATTTTTCAATTAGAAAAAATGGGGAAATTCGATTTTCAGCATTGTTTTATCGAGATTTTCAAGTTTTTTGCGGGGAGATTGAAATTGGGTCAAAAATCAGTTTTTCTGCATTTTTTAAAACTTTTTAGTTCAGTTTTTTGTAGTTTTAACAGTCAAATGTGATTTTTTTTTGTATAAATATTTTTTCTATTTTTAAATTATTTCTCCCAATTTTTCAATAAAGAATCACACTATTCTGTAACTGGAAACATAAAAATAATTATTGAAGGGGATAATCCAAAGGAAACAATTTTTCTATGTACAAAAAAAGGAAATCGTTAATCGGTCTTCTCCATTTCGTCTTCGTCTTCTTCTTCGTATTCCGATGAATATACACACAGTTTTGTACGCAATAATAATAATCGAGAGAGAAAAAGTAGAATTGAAAAGAAAAGAAAAACGGGAGGGGGACGACAAAAATTTTGTGATAGAGAAAAGAGATCATTAGAGAAAAAGAGACATTCTGTGTTGTGTGTAGGGAAGAAGAAGAAGAAAATCGGAAAAGAGAGAGAAGGGAGGCCTGTCAGGTTTTTGGAAAAGATGGGCTGTGTGTATGTGAAGAATTAGGGATGGGGAGACGCAGAGAAGGCAGAGGGTGTTCGGCGAGAAGTGGGGGTGGTAGGAGGAAGAAGAAACCTCTTCTTTGTATATTTAGTTGTTGTTTTTTTTTGAAATTTTAGTTTTTAAATTACACAAATTTTCCTGATTTGCCGAATTCCACTATTTCCGTTTTGATTTTTCTAATTTTGTTTCAATTTTCTGATTTTTTAGTATTTTTTTCAACTGGAAAAGTGATGAAATCTTCCAGAAAACCGCCCGAAACAAGAATATTTTCAAAAAATTATCAAGATTGAAATAAAAAATTCTCAGAGACACCGCAATTTTGCGTTGCGGTGTTTGCGTAATTTGCATGATACTGTACGACAGTTTTTTTCGGAATAATTTTGGGGATTTTGGGATTTTTTAAATTTCGTTTTTTTCTTGATATGGCCATATATGGGGGAATTTGAGGTTGA